AAACCGCAACTGCAGTAGTGGACCGTATCAGACGGTCCAGATTGAGTGTCACGAGATGAGGGGACACCGCCAGATCGTGGGTTGGCGGATCGGATCGGATTTAGTCGGATCATCTCTGCACGCCCGCTTGTCACGGTTCGTAGGTTCTCCTCGGAGTCGACTCGCTTTTGTTTTTCGAGCAGCAGGGTCAAAATGTCCAGAAAATTTACTAGCTACAGAAAATAAATACTTGGAGGTGGTGAAGAAGGAGAAGGGTTTAGAGGAGGTAAAATTAAATACGGTAATCAAATTTCAAAAGGAAAATAATTTAAGGACCCAAAACATGGGACCAAGGTAGGGGACAGGTGAGGTGTCCCCTCCCTATTGCATAATGAGTTGGTCATGCCAACTCATTATGCAATAGGGAGGAGACACCTCACATGTCCCCTCCTTTGGTCCCATATTTTGGATTCCCGTAGCAGCACTCATTTCAAAACTAGAATGTACCCTACTCTCTGATCCATTCATCAACTCCATCTATTTTTCATACTAGCTAGAATGAAGATGATCGTACAACTTGACAACAAAATACGTCCGACTACATACGTCGTGACCATATGTTTTAGAAGAAGATGATTCGCAAAAAGAAGGCTGATGTCGGTTATGGCTGACAATCTTTGTTGTGCTCGGTAAATAAAAATTTTACCTTATAAGGTGCTAAAGAAATTATGTAATGTACCCAAAATAAGTGATTATTACTGAATGAAAATAAAAGAATATCAACGTGCGCATGTTGATATAGCTCAGGCGGGGAAGGGCCCGTAATTTTATTTTGGACCGTACATACGTAATAAAGTTAAGCTCAGACTGTGGTCTGCAGTCGACGAAGAAAAGCAACTAGCTAGTTATCGAAAGTGGCACTGTAAATATGTGTCTTGATACATATATAGCAGCAAAAAAAAATGATTATTATCAGGATGACTACCTTAAGATTCTCTTTGTATGTCATCTTATTCTCTCGACAGCACTCCCAGTGACCACTGGACATCTTTTTGACTTTTTAATTCTTAATTATGCTCTTCAACCAACTAAACATCGATGATAAGTGTCTGTTTTTGGTGCTTAATTAGTTATTCTTACGGGAGAGTAAGTAAATCATGTACTCGTACCATTTCTATTCATTATTGAAGATAAACGTGCTAAAACAAACATGAGACCCACACTTTTTGAGATGTAAAAAATTGTTCCCTTTTAACCGGACATCGAACTGGTTCTTAATCCTCGTGATGTTTATGCTTTAATTATATGAAATAATTGCTTAGATTATGTAAATAAACTAATGACTTGGAAGAGGCTGATAATTGAGTGAGGATGAAGGTAATCTGGACTTTGAGAGGTGGGTGCAAGACAATGTGCTACTTAAATATAGCTACTGAGTTGCTTTGCCAAAAACTAACCACTTTATTCCCTTTGAATATAGAAATCGCCTATCTTTATTGTTATTATTTTGCCACCCATCACTATATTTTATTTTCTTCGTTTTTTTCTTCTTTAAAAAAAAAAAACATGTTTCGCTTATGGGGCCATCTTAATTATCTCTACGGCTCTACCTTCTTTTGTACCTTGACTGACTAATTAAAGTGTCCTTTCATAGCTTGTGCATCAGCCCATTTCCTCCTGTCCACACATAGAATACCTACATCAATTAGTACCCATGTAGTTTAACCCCCAATGTACGTATTTTTTTTAATAAAATCTCTTGATCCATTAATTATGTGATACTTGACTTGCTTTCGTTGATATGCTGTTAGGGAATGTTAGTCTCCCCGCCTACTACGATCTCCGCAACTCGAAAGCTACCCCATAATCAATAAGATGAAAAATAACCGTAACCAAGAAGAAAAAACACCGAGATTTACGTGGTTCGGTCGACCAACTCCGACCTACGTCCACGAACATCAATACAAGAAATTCAGTATTTATCAGGGAGAACTACAAGAGGAATCACTCAACTCTCGTCTCCAAATCTCTTAACCTCACATTCACAATCAACTCTCATATTATCTCTAAAGCTCTCTCCTTATAATCTTTTGAATGGAAAAAGACTGTGAAACCCTCTCACAATGATGTAATCTTTTGTACGGATAAAGACTACGAAATCCTCGCCTAATGATGTAATCTTTTGCACGGATAAATACTACAAAACCCTCACCTCTCGCACAATATTCCTGAATCAGGCTACGCCCTCTGCTAATCCTAGATTATAAGAATATTGGCTCTCTCTCTCTCTCTCTCTCTCTCTCTCTCTTCCCCTCTCTCTCTCTCTCTCTCTCTCTCTCTCTCTCTCTCTCTCTCTCTCTCTCTCTCTCCCCCCCCTCCCTCCTCTGCTTGGGTTTTCCTCCAACGGTAGAAGAATATATATAGGAAACCAAAACTCTATCTCTAGCCTAAATTCCTAATTAGAATATGATTCAAACTCCTAATCATGATAAAACTCAACCTCCTAATCATGATAGATCTTTAATCCTATCTTATTCTCATGAAGTTATACAAAGAATCAAAAACACAATCGTAACTCATGCATGATAGTGTTTTTCTTCATTGTTATTGATTTTGTTTTTATTTATTTCTTATTGCATACAAATGTCCATGAATCACGCTCAAACCAACTTGTGAATTTAAGCCGAGTTAAATCAGCATTAACAATTAAGTATATGAAGTCAAGTAATTAAGTCGTATTCTCCACATCTCAAGCACAATTGAAGCTTTTTTGATAGAAAAACAAGGGATATACCATGTTCATTAAAAAACTTTAAGTTTTTTTAATGAACATGGTATATCCATGTTCATTAAAAAACTTATAGTTCTTACAAAAGGGGGATACGAACTGTATCCATGAAATTGGTAGATAGAAAAGTTAAATTCTCATAGCTAGTGATGTATAACTTTCTTCTACCAAATATCCATGTCAACGGTGAAGCACAACTGAAGCTTGGAGATTGTTTAGGCATATATCTTAATTCCTCTGCAACAAGAATATCTCTATGTTTATGGTATGTTAATCAAAATGTCAACGGTCAATGTATATATAGTTAACATAAAAACATTTCATTTATATTAGCCGAACTTAACTTAAATTAGTTGGTGCGATAAGAAGTTGTTGTTGCATGTGAGCTCAACCACAGATTAGTAAAGCCTATTGTGCTAATTAATTAAGGGGGAAAAAACCTTTTGTCGTCGATCGCTATATTTCAGTACGTATGAAGTGACGTTTCTCCCAACAAAAAGAATGAGAAACTCACGGCCCATGATTAGTCCCCGTTATATGAAGATATATATTAATATATCAGCTGAAAGTTAGTGTGAATTTACTACGGACGTGGGTCATTTTCTAGCATTAGCTTCTTCATGCCAATCAATCAATTTAATAAAAGATCAAGCCAATTTGCAACTAATTAATCCTAGATATATATAAGAAAAAGTAAGGAGAGAGGAGAGCTAACTTAAAGTTATATATGAATCCCTCTTGTAATGGAGAGACAAGACTTGACGAAAAAAGTGAGAAAAGATTAAAGAGGGATAAAGCTATATATAAGCGTGCAAAAGCACATCTCGATCGTACTTATTCCATTTTTATGGTTGATATTTTTTTTTATTAGTGTTTTTTTTAATGGATCTTTATCAGAGAACTTATATATAAAGGGCTATATCTGACGCGCGCCTGATGGTAATTAAAAGGATATGCATCAACATGACAGCATCAATAGGCATGGTAGTGACCGATGTCACTTTCTCCCCTCGGACTCTTCTAATTATTAATCAGTTA